GTATTATTTCTGACTTATTCACGTGTACACAGATCCCAGACCAGAACCTCACTCAGGGCTCTTTCCCTGACCCGTGCTGCTTTCAGAAAAGGCAACATTGGAAAAATGGCCAATATTTGAGGCCAAAACAACCATTAAAAACCCATTCTTCCCAAAAGCTGTTTTGATGGATCTCAGGCACAAATACTTGTCCTGGAAATCAGCTCTGTGTTTTCCCACTCTACCAAGGTGAAGGGCAACTACCTGGTCTTTCATTTACCTGCACCCCGTAGTGCCTTAGACAGTATAGTGGAGCTTAGCAATATCAGGGCGATGAGAGAGAAAGGAATATGAGCTGTTTAGTGGAGAGGTTTTCCAAGCTCATAACCTTTCTTCTAGTTCATTCCCTAAAATACGTAATCTCTTTTCTGGAGCTCATTTCTTAGGTCGTGCTCATGAGGGATCCCATATGGCCATCCTGAGCCTAATGATTCACTTTCATACTTCATACCTCTTTCTCGTGAACCTTGTGGCCCATTTCCCCTTTGGTGTTTCTGTGGAGTCTGCCCGAGTCCAGTGTGTTCTCTCTGGCCAAACCCCACCTTGGGGAGGCAGCCTGATGGCATGGTTAGGCTCCCATGGGGACTGCTGTCTGCAAGAGTCCTCAGAAAAATTTTGTTTTCAGCATATCAACTGACACCAGAAGTTTTTTTCTGTATTTTCTAGCTTTATTATATTTTCTAGTTTCTGCTTTTCCTTTCTTTTTTTCCCATTTTCTTTTCTTTTTTCTTTTTTTTTTAAATGTTTTCTGGGTTTCTTGTCCCAAGTGCAATGCTGGATAAAGCTGCTTGCTATTAACTGCTGCAGGCTCAGGGCAGTGCTGAACAACGTGAGACAGCCATCTGCAAGGTTCATTAATATTTCACTGCCTTGCATCAGTCTGGGTGCCACGAAGCAGCCTAATTCATAATTTAATGCCTCTCAGACGCAGTTCCCTAATGCATCATTAGTGTTGTAGGACGGTCTGGCCTGTGGAGCGCTGTGCATATGCACTGGCAGCCTCAGAGGTCAAGCTCTGGGCAGCTCCTCTGGGCCTGGGAGGGGAGAGTGAGTTACATGGAGCAGCCTGGCCGAACCGTCAGCGAGCCAAAGTCACAGGCAGTCAAGGGAGGTTGCCCCAGAACTTTCCACAGCTCAGTTTGCTTCTGTTTTGCATGAAGCATTCCTTCACGGAGACAAAACAATATTCATGCTGGTAAAAACTTCCTAGAAAGAGATCACTGTGATTGAGATTGTACCCAAAATATTAAAATATAAATGCATTATGAAAAATAGCTAATAGATTAAAAAAACAATTTTACTTAGTAAGATTTTAAGTGTCNCGCATTATGAAAAACAGCTAATAGATGAAAAAAACAATTTTACTTAGTAAGATTTTAAGTGTCTGTATTTATATACTTCTAAGCATATGAACTTAGGATTTGGCTTTGTTTTAGGCTTGGTAAAAAACCGTCATGGTCTCTGACTTTTGCATATTTTGTTGAATATCGCGTCTTGTAGACAAGTTAGGGCAGGCCCACGGGACAGAGGCATTCTGTTGGTCCAGGCTCTCCGGGCAGCGCGCCCAGGGCAAGTGCTTCCCTGGGTGACGCCAATCTCCTCAACTCTCAGCCTTTCGTATTTCTTGCTCACCGGCCGTCCATATATTGAAATACACTCTTGAAGATGATCCACTCCTAGCAACATTTCCAGCAGTGTGTTGCCTTTCCCGGTGGTGCTTGCACTTGAACGTTCTCTCTCGGCAAGTTTGCAAATTCATTCTTTCTTTCAAATTCACATCTGGTATCAACCAGTGGGAGGGCAATAATTTCACGTGAGGTATAAGGGCTTTTGTAGTGTTACTGAACCCATGTCAAGTGGGTGACTCACTGCCTTCTTTAGTTAGCTGAGAGGCTAGGCTTGGGGCTGCTGGGTGTGCCTCATTTATCATCATTGATTAATGAGGCTTACCAGACATTACCAATTATTGGCTACTTGGTTTTGAGCCTGGAGACTTCCCTTGTCAGCCATCATTTCTATAGGGCTACAGAAATTCTTCACTTTTCTCAATAAACTTCACCTAGTTTTCCCTCTAGGAATTTGAGCAACCCGTGAGAAAGTGTAAATGACTAGGAAGTGAACGCAGGGGAAGTGGAGAGATGCTTTCCCCCCCGGAGCGCTAGCTTCCCGGTTGCTCTGGACACCCCTCTCGAGCTCGGGGGGGCTGCGCACATCCGCACCAGCGGGGGAGGGCAGGGGTCGGGCATGGGCTGAAGGCGCTGGGAGGGCTGGGCCTGCAAACGCTCAAAATTAATTGACTGATGCTCCCTCCAAGGACCAGGCTTCATGGAGGAGATGCTTCTAGGAACAGCGATGGAGCAGAATGGCTGCTATTGGGAAGAGGGGCCCGAATAAAGGTGGTGGGGAAGCAGAGCAGGGGCTCGGAAAGGGAGGGCACATTGGTGATGCTTCAGAGCCAGAGGAGGCGGCCCCAGAGGTGCGCAGCTAGGGGAGCCACCCCCCACCCCAACGGAAGTTAGGAACACTAATGTCACACAGAAGGAGCCACGGAAAGGAACTGTGGTTCAAGCCACACCAGATTCTCATCAGCAAACAGAACAAGAAGCAGGAGCAGGTCCTGACAGGGGATAAAATCTCACCAGAAAGATAGGCCTACAAATGGGTGAAAACCATACTCAATATTTCAAAATGAACTGAAATAACTTAAGGAAATAATGGAAGACAGTAAAAAAACAATAGGAATCAGAATTTGAAAACTAGAGAAAAAAAACTATTTCAGAATTAATGACTAAACTAGGAGGGCAGTAAGACAGTTTGGGAAGGGGACAGGGTCACCTTACTGACGGGGTAGCTGACCCAGGCCACAGGAAGAAGAAAGGCTATTGTCCCTCAGGGGGGGCTGGGAGGAGCGGCTGGTGCTCAGGGATCCCTGGGGCCTTGCTGGTGCTCTAGGCCAGCCCGCATGAGACAGGTGAGTGCAGCAGCTGTGGCCTGAGAAGGGCTGGGACCCAGGACACCAGAGGCCTAGGGCTGAGGGTGTGGCTCTGCCCGATGAGCAGAGGTGCTTGGTGAGGCGAGGGGGACCCAGAACCAGGGTGGTGGAAATGAACGATGAGTGTCTTACGTGGCTGGAGCTCCTTCAGCTTACTCCTTTCTGGGAGTGGAAATAAGGCCTTCCGCTCTTATTATAAGGAGCCAGTGGGTCTGCGTGGCCCANCTTCACACCAGCTGCAGCAGCGGGGGCTGGAGCTCCTTCAGCTTACTCCTTTCTGGGAGTGGAAATAAGGCCTTCCGCTCTTATTATAAGGAGCCAGTGGGTCTGCGTGGCCCAATCGCAGATGTTGATGGATATTGAGATCTCCCGATCCCTTCTGCACACCCACCTGCTCATAGGTCACAATGGTGCCCTCAGAAGCAGTGAGCTCCAGCCGCAGGGAATGCCTCCTCCACGGTGAAGCCCCACCCACGGGTGGCTGTGGCAATGGCTTGCTGATGCCTTTGCTTGAGACAAGGAAGGGCTATCCCAGCTCCTGAGTGCCCCGCAGGGATGGGTGAATCTCAACTGCAGCTGTATGGCTGGGCGATCTTGTCCCTCCGCTTAACCCTGCTTTCCTCACTGACCAGTGTAACTCCCGGGTCCATCTTCCTGATGACCTTGGGGCTATCTCTAGAGAATCGTCTAAGGCGACAGTCTGTGTTTGTAAGGGGCATCTACTGGGCCAGGGCAGGAGCTCATTTGAGGCTTAGAGTGTGGCTGGTGACAGCCTCATGATCATTTCATACTGTCAGATAAAAAAAGTTTGGAGAGGGGTAGTGACCTGCTGGCCTCGGTTCCCAGCCTGATGGTGGCCGAGCCAGGACTAGAAGCCAGGCCACCTCATGTTCCTGCTCCACTGAGCACATGCCTCCCTGGAAGGTGTGCTCTCCTACAATTTTTGTAAGTTAATCTTCTATATATCCTTTGTGAACAAAAAAAGGGGTTCTATGGAAAGTAACCTCACAGGGTGATCAGGTCCTAAATTCCTAAGTGGGCAGGTCACGGCGGGTAGTCATATCCCAGGCATATCGATTCTTTACTAAAAGAATTATTGTCTTGGTGCATCTAGGTTAACACACCTGTGAAACAGCCACACTCAAGCACATAATCTTGTTAACTATCCTAGAATCCAATCCCCACCTTGCCGTCCTCCCACCTCCCTGGCATCTTCCTGGCGTTCCCTCCTTAATCTCAAATGCAGAAAAGCAGCTGCCAAACCGACATTCTCGGGAGCATGTGAGATCCAGCTCCCCGGCATATGTTTGGCTCAAATAAACTCTTATAGAAACTCTCTACGGGTTTGGATGTTTCTTATGCCGACATCTTCTGTATTTCCCGCCTTACACACTGGGCAGCTTTTTTCTTGAAACCTGGAAATTGTTTTCTTGAGGAATATTAAGATTCTGATATACTTTGACCTCTACACTTTTTTTCCAGAGCATTTTTCTACTTTCCTCTTTCCTAAATGTGTCATCACGTGCTCTCTGGAAACTCCTTGTTGACATTTTAAAAAGAAAGAATTCAGAACCAGAAATATGCACACGGCTTCTTCCTTCCTGCCGTGGGGACATCAAAGCGTGGGCCAGGAGTCCCCTAAGTGGCTTGAGCTTACTGTCTCAGTGACGGGAGGGTGGATTTCGGCAGGCTGGCAATACGCTGGCTTCCACAGGCACTAATTCTCTAGAACACACTGAACATCATTGGAGCTCTGCTGGGTTTTTTAAAGATCCATACTCATTGTATAGTTTCCTTTGGAAATTAATTTGTTATAATTATATTATTCATACAGAGCACCTACCTGAGGGAAAAAACACACACAATCAAACAAGAAGTGAATTCGCATCTCAGTTATTTTTAAAAACTCCTCGTACACAACATTTAAAACAATTACTTTTCCTAGTTCATGCAAAAAGGCAGAATCAAGTGACTTTGCAAGATGTGCTTTATTTTAAGTCAGTCCTGAACCCAAACTACATAGGATCATTTTTTGTTTTTGGACATACTCTAGTCCATTCAATGATTCTTCTCAGAAACTGTATTTTAATATGGAATGAAAACTACATTTCGGTCATAAATTTCCATGCTACATTGTAATTTAATGAAGAGGTTGTATTACCAATAACAATAATTTAAGAAAAGGCCCTTTTTTTTTAATTTCCCCAAGCTCAATATACATATTTCTTTCATAATTATGAACTTAAAAAACCCGTCTCAGATGTAAAAATGTGAATTGGAATATGTAAACTCTTTGATATACCTGAAAAACAGGAAGGAAAATGTCACATACTGGAAAACCATTGCCTCAAATCATCGAAATGGGAACAAGCGTGTAGAGGGGGGAGGGTAGAGGCGCTCGGGTCCGGCTGACAGAGTCACAAAGTCAGAGCACTCCAGGTGGCCGCGCTCGGGGCTCCCTGCTCGGCCGGCGCCTCGCGGGAGCAGCAGCTCTGAATGGAACCGCCGTCGCCGCCGAAGGGAACCACTAGCTGGGCCTCAACAAAGCCGGTGTCCACGTATTCGTTTTGCTGCTTTTTTTTTTTTTCCTGAGAAGTCACTGGTGTTTAATGGAAAAAAAAATGTGTCTGAGTCTTCAGTTAAGATAAGGCAGTAAGAGTGTCACTAGGTTATCTTTTTGCTTAGAATGAGGCTTCTCCACCCACTGGCATCTCCAGGGGTCACCAGCTCCCTCTCTCCTTTCCTCCTAGCAGTGTGTTGCGGGGGTTTCAGCCTCCTATTGCTGTTGCACAGTCGGGCTGTGCCGCGGCCCATCAGGCCCATCAGTGCCCTCCCGGCGGCTGGCGCCGGCGACAGAGCGCTGCGGGTGGCCCGACGGCTCCCCAGGAAGGGCCCGGCCCCGCAGGAAGACACGCGGCTTCCCAACTCGCCCCTGCTCTTGTTCCTCTGCGGGAGGACCCCGTCAGTGACTCCTCACGGTCCATCAGGACGCAAGACACTGTTGATTAAAACATACACCAAGTAGCCCTGATTTCAGAGAAATGGAATTACAAATAAAGTTTTCAACGGCGTCTTAACTCGCAAGGTAGCTCTGGCTACGAAAGGAAGTCGACTCCCTTTGGCCACCTGTCAGAAGAGAAACCATTTCCGACCAACGAGAAATGCTCAGCTCTTATGAGAATATTGTGCTTTTTGGTTTTGGAAAATTCAAATGTTAACTTGATTTGCAGTCTGTGTCCTAAGGTATCAATTTGTTTTCTCTCTAGTCCATTTGATCATAGTTTCTGGTGAACGGTACAGGAATATTAATTTGGCATAGAGATCTTCCTCTAGTTCCAGTTCCCCTGTCTCTCGAACTAAAAAAATATCCGTGCACAACTTCAAGATTCGGTCCACGTTTGGAAGCTCTTCAAACATGATGGAGTGAGAAATCCCACTGAAGAACTCGCGGACGAACTTCCCAATGACAAGGACAACTGAAGCGTATAATCCCATGATACTGAAAAACAAAAAATGAAGTAGAAATTGTATCTAGCAGTTAAATATGGTTAACATGTCTAAAAGAGAAAAATGTAACATTTCCTTCAAAATCCATAGAAGATATGATAAACTTAACAAAGCTTAAAGTTTTTCTTTTTTTCCTGATAAAAAAGGTAATTCGTGTTCTTTCTAAAACAAGTTACACATTACAGAACTGTAAGACTTGAAAAAGAAAAGTCCTTTGAAAGTTCACATTTTGGAATTTATTGATGTTAAAGGTTTCATGTAAGAATTCAGGCACTTTTACCACATATAATACATGCATGAACCACATAGTGTATCTGGTAGAAATCCAATTGTACTATATATACTTTTTTGTTCCTAACACTTTTCACTTTTATAATACTACCTTTCTCAGAGATTCGTTTTTATAATAAAACTTTGAGTAGACAATGATTTCTTAAGAGGCTCATTCTGGAAAACGGAAAACTTTCTACTTGCACTTATAAGGGATGAGAGTGTCCTAGGATTTTAAACATTAGCATGTGGTTAAAGGGTAACATTGGACTTGTCCAAAATTGTGGTTTCTAATTGATCGTACATCTGCTAAGGTCACAAGGAAATCGAAGCAGAAAAAGATAATTTTACGCCAATTTCTAAGTTGAAACACTGAATTGCATCAAACTATGTCATAACAGGAAGAGGTAGTTAAAAAGCTGGAAACACAACTTCTAGTCCCGTCATTAACAGTGTGATTCACACAAGGCATTGTGACTTCTTTGGGATTCTGGTTCCTTGTTTTTGAAGATGAAGGACCAAAGATCTGTGAATTTTAATATTTTAGCTATAAAACTGGAGAATTTTACGAAGATAAATGGCTCTCATCTTCAACCTTATATGATACAGAAGTAGACTTTGTTAAAGAACAAATATGTTTACTTTTTTTGTATTATTTTCAATTTTATTTTTCAATTACAGTTTACATTCAATATTATTTTGTATTAGTTTATGGTGTACAGCATAGTGGTTAGCACAAGTAGACTCTTGTAACTGTTAATTTTTAAATGGCTCCTTACCCATAGCCAGCCAGGAAGCCCAGACTGGGGGGGCTGACTTTGTCATTGAAGACCACCAGCTCTAAGGCCTGGGCATGCTGATTGTATAGTCTATTTCCAGTCAGATTGAGAACCCACCACTCACTGCTAGATTTAGTTGTATTATCTCTGGACAAAATGATGGTGATATTCATGAAATTATTTTCTGGAAGAGAAAAAAAATAAAATCAAGTTAGCATAAAAATTTTAGGATTTAATGCCCATCAACAACAGTCTTCAGATGGCAACACCTGGTTCCTGTCCATAGTATATGATTCCAGGATGTCCACATGGGCATGTTAACAATGTAAGTGGAAAGGAATGGGTGGGGCCTAGGTATGTATGGGGTTTCTCTTTTTTACTAAGGAGGTCAGTCACTGTTGCTACATGTGCAGGGCAGTCAAATCACAGGGGGAGAGGAAAAGACCCATCACCTCAGCATCTTTGCTGATAATTCCAAAGAACTAATTAGACATTTAAAAACCGAAGTCACTCGCTCTTGATTGAATTGACTGGTTCATTCATACTATCAGATTTATCGAGCGTCTTCTAAGACTTCTAAGGCACTCTGGTAGGTGCTAAGGAGTTGCAAAGTTGCATATAGCATGGTTCCTTATCTCAATGGGAAAAGACCATGTACACAAGCACAATATGACAACCACCATAAGGCCTGCAGTGACAAGGTCTGCTAGCTTGGAGAAATCCCTTTTGGTTGGTATGATCCATGAGGCCTTCCAGGGGAGGTGACTTCTGAGCTGTTTTGCCGAATGAGAACTTCAATAGGTGGAGATGTAATGGGGAGAGGAAGGATTGATGGCATAAAGTTCTGCAAAGTTCTGAAAACCCATAATGAATGGTCAGTGATTGCACAGGGTGAATGTAAAAGAATAGTAAAAGACAGGGTAAACAAAAAGCTTGGAGTTACACTGAATGCAGGTCCTCTGGAGGTCTTTTTAAGAAGAGGCAGCCCTTGCCAGTGATAACAGAGCCTCCACTGAGAATCATGGTGGCGGACTGTAAACGCTGAGGGTAGGGACCAAATCTGCATTATTTTGCACTAAATTCCTAGGTCATAGGAATCTAGGACAATGTCTGGCAATAAATGCTTATTTTTTGGATGGATGGATGGATGGATGGATGGATGGATGGATGGATGGAAGGAAGGAAGGAGAGTGAGAATGTCAGGAGAAGGGTAAAGATGAAGTCCATACCCAGGAAGAATGTGAATCACTCAGGACACTCAGGAATAGGAAGAGCCTTGATTTTGAAGTACAGAGATAGTTCTGAGAGAGCAAATCTGGCCCTGGGCCCACATAGGCCCAGGTTTGGATCTAGTTCCTACATATACTGTTTGTATAACCTCACACCTGAGCCTCCATAACTGTCAACTTCTGCTAAATATACCTTGTGGTCAAGATTAGAGGCAGCTCAGTATAGCTCATCAGATAAACAGTTAGGCTGCTGTGGACAGGATCTGAGAACACCAAGGCCATGTGGTCTGGGGGGCAAGACCTCGTAGGCTGGACCTCAAATCACTCCCAGGCAGACAAGTCAGTGTGGGGAAAGGGGGAGACCCTGGAAAGGAGGCGGAACATAAATGATGCTGCAGGAATGAAGGCAGGGAAGGGGAGCGGGGAGCCTGCAGCACAGGGGGCGGCTGACCTTGGAAGGAGCGAGGATACATCTTTTTTTGAGGCTGAAGGGAAGAAGGAAGAAAGCTATGAAAATATAAGAAGTTTTGCCAAGAAGTAGAAGGAAGCTGAAGAACTTCCCTGGCCAGCTGGGACCTGCTCTGGAAGGCGGCAGCAGGACAGAGCCCACTGAGGGACAGAATCCTTGTGGGGAATGACTGATTGCTGAACAAAATTTATGCTCTCAGACTAAACATTTCTAGAACTAGTCTGGATTGAAAGGGGAATACCAAAGTTCTCAATGCATCTTGCAATTACCTTGCAAGACATATTTATTTACTGTTGAAGAAGAAAAGCATGTAGGTGTGGGATCGGCCCCATCCTGCCTCTATTTTTGGCAATTTCCATGGGGGATTCTAACTGATCTCTATTTTTCCAGTTAAACATGAGCCACACAGAGCCTGCTGACAGTGACTGTGGCAAATGAATGAACATGAACTGAATACTGCATTGTCCTTCTACCTTGCCAGATGTATACAGCTACTCTGGTTCAGGTAATTAAGTCAAACAATGCTTGATTTTCAAAAGAATCCAAAAACATCAATTCACTCCCATCACGGTTGTACGGAGAAAACACAGTCCCTCGAGCACTACTATTGATGCTTAATCTACCGTGGGCTGAATCAAGTACATCTCCTGCTATCTTTTTTTGCTCTTACTGCGGGGCCTTCATATTTAACACTGTATGAGGCAGTTTCCTGCCTCAGATATGGTTGCTAATAGAAACAAGTGAACAGACTGACTAAGCAGTAACATAAGTCATTAGGAGTNCGTTGCTCTTACTGCGGGGCCTTCATATTTAACACTGTATGAGGCACTTTCCTGCCTCAGATATGGTTGCTAATAGAAACAAGTGAACAGACTGACTAAGCAGTAACATAAGTCATTAGGAGTGACTTTGAGTTAATCAGGTTCAATAGCAATTAAAGAAAGAAAACGAAGAACTTGGGTCCCAGGTGAGCAAATGCTTCCTCTGGCTGGTGAGCGCAGCTGGGAGCCTTATGGTTCTTGCGAGGGAAAGAAAGCTGGAAAGTGGCTTGATAAAGGCTGAGAAATGCAAACTGTAGATGAATAAAAGAAGGATTTAACAGAATTCTGAAGTGATTCCTTCTCATTCTTACCAGATAAAAGTTGCTTTATAGGTTTGGAGTTAGAATCACTAGGTGCTTTCACGTAATATGGGTAGATCCTTTCAATAGTCCTGTGCATTAAGGAAAAAAAAAAGAGATAATTGAGTTTTAGTTGTTTACCCACATAAAATTGAATTTTTGGTTGCTATTTTGACCTTATATCAAACAAGTAATGGTGAAAGTCTTTATATGTCTATACAATGTGTAGTCATCATAATATATGGGTTTCCGTTATAATCAGAATTCTCTGAAGCCAAAAAAGTTCACCAGGTTCTATCTAAATACTCATGTAAACGCCATACACGAGCTAGTTAATGCTTCAAAACTGCTGCAGAGTCCTTCCGTGTGTGTTACTGCTTCTGAAGCAAAAGGCTGTCTTTCTTGCTAGGAGCTTATCATTTGTATCAATAACATCCAGTGCTCTTCTAATTTTAATTTTTAGGATTTCAAAAATCTCTCTAATCAAGTGGACTGCATTTGATCTAGTGATAAGAGTGAGGTGTGAAGAGCAAACTGGTGGCCTGAACCTCATGCTACCTCTGCAGAGAGGAGCTGGGTCACCGGAGGAGGTTAGACACGTTTCTGCATCTGGGAAGTGACAGAGAGGATCTGACCATCTTAAAGGGCCCTTCAACTTCATTGATTAACAAAGGATATTTTAGCCAGGAGTGTGTCTGAGGGCTGCATCACGGTGGTTCTTACATTCCATGCATAAAATGGGCAGGGCAGACTGAAGGGCAGACGGGGAGATGGCTGGTGGATCCGAGACACCTCCTCTAGCGCTTCTGGCCAACAGCACTTTTTTCTCTTGCTAGCTCCTATACCAGAATCCAAGCATCACAGCTTGGATGTGTTTGAAATGGAGTATTTATATGGCAGGATAATATGTTGAGATAATCTTCCCCTCAAACTTCTGTTTACCTTTTGTCTACTCTCCCCAACCCGCTCCCATTCACTAGCCAGGCATTCAGTGACCGCAGCAGGAGTAACAGGAAAGGGGTCTTGCAGAGCGTTTCCCTGCTTTTGGTGATTATGGTAATGTAACAGCATGGCTTGCTGTTCAGAGATGAGAGCAACGCTCCCTGGCTAGGTGGACAGAGAGTGAGAGGGAAGACAAAGAACTGCCTTAATCTAGCACAATGAGGCCTCCAAACAGAAATTCACTTGAGTTACCAAACAATGACAAAGGTTGCATTTCTTGCACATGAGGGAAGCGTGGGTAGAGATTCTGCACTGGATGCATACACCTATTAACGCTGTATTAACAGGAACAATCAACTTACACTGGTGTTGTTGAACTTTCTGTGTCATTGCCGGCTATCATTTTAGCTATATTCTCTCGTGTAGCATTTTTAAGAAGAAAAGTAAGCTTATCTGTTGCTATTTCTGCTTTTGCACCCAGACTCATGTTTCTGTGAAGAAAAAACAAGACAAAAGCTCAATGTCAGTGATTATTCGGAAGTCTGGAAGAGAAATTAAAAACTCACTTGACTCTTAATTTCATTAATCTCATCAAGGTTTTATTGGGTCCACAATTGTCAACCCCAACCCTTTCTGCTCACCTCACCTTTATGTCCTGTTCTTAGACAACCAAGTTAGTAAACCCCAGGGAGGCCACCATCACCTTTAAAACCGACGGCCGGTGAGGAGGCACAGCCTGCTGACCACAAGAGAAACCGACCTGCTGCTCTGATGTGAATTTCCAAAACTCTCTGTATGTCAATCCAGTGAAGCTGGCCTTCATGGTGACTAATAGAATCCACATTTTTAAAAGAACGTTCAATCAGAAGTTGATCTTTAATGTTATTGGTATTTTTTGGTAGCTTTTCAAAGTAAGGCCAAGAAGTAAATGTTTGGCAGTACAGAATTCCATGTGAGGAATTTGGGACATTTAAAAGGAGAAAAATAAGATTGAAGGAATTTTTTAAAATTCTGAACTGTCCCCTTTAGATTCTAGCAGACTTTCTTCTGTACCGATCATAATTCTTTTTTTTTTTTTTAAACATATCTTTATTGATTTCAGAGAGAGGAAAGGAGAGGAGAGAGAGAGAGATAGAAACATCAATGATGAGAGAGTCATTGATAGGCTGCAGCCCCCAACCCGGGCATGTGCCCTGACCAGGAATCGAACCCTGATTGCCTAGGATCCTAGGTCGACGCTCAACTGCTGAGCCATGCCTGGCTGGGCTCATAATTCTTTCTTAATCCCATCCAAGAAGCTGGAATTGTAGACCCAAATGAACCTAAAACTTGACTGACAAATAAACTTGGATAGAGTCTTCAGTCACAACTGTGATGAAAGAAACTAAACTAATCAGCTGGTATAATGTGTCGAGGCTCCTGAACTGCTTCACTAACACTTCGGGCTTTGGGATGCAAGAACTTTTCCTAAGACATGCTCTGTGTAAACAAGTGAAGTAGCGGCCGCATGCTGGCCACGGGCTCAGGTTAGGCAAAGAGCAATTTCCCCCAGCTTTCCCCGCTGGGTCTGCCGAGCTGCTCTCACATCTCGAGCCTGGTGAAAAGACCTGCTAGGGCTCTCCCATGTTGATGCTGGGGAGATGCAGGTGGGGAGCTGGGGTTCCAGAGGCTGCACACTCTTTATTCTTCAGACCAAACTTTCGATGAAAGAAGGTAAAAGGATTAAGCAACACACACATATAAAACACACAAAACACATAGACACAGACAACAGTGTGGTGATAGCTGGAGAGAAAGGGGTGGGGGGAGGTGG